CGCGGTGCTCGCCCGGGACGCGCCAGGGGGTCGCGCGGGCGGGCGGGCTGCCGCCGCTTCGGTCGCCATGTGCGCGCAGGTCTGGCTGCTGACCGACCGGCTCATCCGCGAGGACTACCCGCAGGTGCAGATCCTGCGCGCGCTCCGGCAGCGCTGCTCCGAGCAGGACGTGCGCTTCCGGGCTGTGTTCTTGGACCAGATTGCCGTCACTGTAGTCGGCGGCCACTTAGGTGAGCGCAGCCCCGGAGGGGCGGGAGGGGCGCTGGGATCCCGTGAGCCAGCCCGCATTCAACCCACTCCGTGGTTGCCCCTCTTTGCAGCACGCTGAGGGCAACAGTCGAGAAGATGCTAAATTCACTGAGGAGACGGGTTAGTGGGGCATTCACATTCACCTGAAGCTCAAGGCGCCAGACCTCAAATTGTAGATTCTCCGTGCACAGATACCCTGTCAGGCGGCACTCAGAAATTTGAGGGATCAACCCAGAATTCACAAAATTGTTCTTAGGGCAGATGTTTGGGAAACTTTTCTATCGGTATGTGTGCACCACTGATGAATGCCTCAAACTGGCAGCCTAATTATGGGAGACAGCTGAGAAAGATTGGGATCGTCTCTGGAGTTTAAGGGGCGAGAGGAGACATTTGATGATTTTCTTTAACTCGTCCTCCTTCCTAAACATGTTGAATTCTGATTTCAAAATAGTCAAGTACACACCCTTCAGACTTTACTCATCCTTTTAATGCCGGGTCCAGGGGAATTGGGGGGGTGGGGAGTAAGACATGGTTATCATCCCTGATTCCTCTCAAAGTGTTCTGTTTTCAGATATTCTTATTATTCTCAATACAAACCTGTTTTGTATAAGCAATCCATGAATTTGGAAACTCTTGTTCACTGGCTTACAAGTCTGTGTTCTCAGTAAGCCCTCGGAGGTATTCAGCTATTTAGGGGGTCCAGAGCTGAAGAGGGTTTAGCTCTCTTGGATACTTCTTGGAGTGCTATTCATATTTCATCTTTATCTAGGTGGGTAGGAGATCCATTCAGCAAGGGAAGGGATACCAAATTTTGAACAGACTACTTACAAGTGAGGTTTTGAGTACGTGTTCCTAAGTGAAATAGCTCGGTTGAACATTGTTCATCCATAAGTGTATTTAAACCTTCCATGTGTAGGATCAGATTGCATATGCTTTTTTGTTGTTGTTATTCTTGTTTTTTCAAGACAGGGTTTTTCTGCGTAGTTTGGTGCCTGTCCTGGATCTCACTCTGTAGACCAAGCTGGCCTCAAACTCACAGAGATCCACCTGGCTCTGCCTCCCAAGGGCTGGGATTAAAGGCATGCGCCACTGCTGCCCAGCCTAGATTGCATATACTTTTGCAGAAGTATGCGCAAGCATCAGACACCTCACATTTCAAAGAGGTGTGGTTAAGTGTGAAGAGTACCATCTCTCAAACCTCGATTGCTAAAACCCTCCCAACTGGTTAATGAACTACATTCCTGAACAGAGAATCTGAAGGACTGTGTTCTTCTTACAGCTTTTCCGTTACCAAGTGTCTTGGCTTTGCTTTGTGCAGATCACTTTGATTTTTATTTGGGGTTTTGTTTTGTTTTTCACGTTTAATTTTACATATATGGCTATTTTGTCTCCATATATGTGTGTACCATATTCATGC